TTAGTTTCATGACGTATAATATAAGTAATTGAATAATACATAAAACACATGGCCATTGTGCAAAATACATGAAAAAAAGGACTAAGATTTTAAGAATCCATGGATCATTTTGAAATTACAATATAAATATAAATATATATATATATGTTACCTTTCATTTTGAGTATTTTTTTCTTAAGCTGCTGGGCACAAGCCTCACAATGCATGTTCACGTTAAGCTCCACAGTAGTTAATCCACTCACCTACAACAAAAGATCACATATATAGTTGCAGATTTTCAATTTGTGTATAAAATTAATTTGAGAACTTTTGCAGTATAGCCCCTCAAGTAACTAATAATACCTGAGAGGCAACAACTTCCGGCATGGGTTCCCCTTCAGCCTCCGGCAAAGGGGATAAAACCTTTGCCCTTCTCTTTGTTTTCTTCATAACTCTATTACACACGGCTTGTGGCTCCACGACTCCCTTTATCGTGACCTCGTTTTTCAACATATCGGTCGAAACTCCTTCCACTCCTGAAATTAAAAACCATGCAGGTTAATTCAATCTCGATTCATTGCACTTTTTGTGAAAATATGAATAATAATCATTTTGTTGTGAAATCACCCTTACTACGAAAAATTGAATTCCGTAAATAATTTTTATAGTAAAGATAATTGTGTCATTTCACAAGACATGATGACTATTATTTAATACTTTTACAAAAGTGACTAGTTTTTAACATTTTTAAAAGTCATGGTCATTTGGTGATATTACTCTTTTATATATTGTGCCGGTTTTACAGCTAAGTGGCAAACGCAAAGATGAAATATAGCTACTTTTTGTAGGAGTATGAATAGTAACTATTCTACTATAGTACTATGTGAAATAACATATATAATTACCATTACACCCAGTAATTGAAGTACAGTAATAGAAATGGGAAATGCTACAAACTCGTTACGGAACCATTCCGTCGGCATTTGTAACTGTTGAGGATAATTGATCTAACGGTTACCAATCCCGACGAAATGGTTCCGTAACGGGACTGTAGAATCTCCCGAAATTATTGGAGTTTTGGTATATACCTCTAATTTTAAGAATGGATCTCTCAATTTTCTTGGCACAGCCCACACAATGCAAGTCCACATACAACACAAAAGGTGGAGGTGGTTTTTTAGGCTCTTCTTCTTTCTTTTCTTCAGCTTTCTCTTCTTTTTTCTCCTCTGCCTTCTTTTCTTCTTGTTTTTCTTCTTTCTTCTCCTCTGGCTTAGTTTCCTCCTGCTTTTAAAAAAATAAAATATATATATATATATATATTGCATGTAATTCTTAATTATTATTATTATCTATAAAAAAATTAATGGAATTCTCAATTTTCATGCAATAAAAAGCCAACCTTTTTGGCTTCTTCACCCATTTTGCTAATCCTCAACACTTCAAATTTGTTTATTTAATGTTAAGAAGAAGAAGAAGAAAAAAAAAAAGGTTATGAGAAATTATTGAGATGAAAAATAAAAGATGAGTGTTAAAAGGGAGGGAGGGATATTGGAGAAAATTAAGGGGCAATTTATATGGTGAGAAATTTGAGATTTTGAAAGAATGGACGGTGTGGATTAGTTGATAAAAAGCAGTGGTGTAGGATGGCAGAGCACATGCAGGGTACAAACTGCAGAGAGGGACTATTATTAATTAATTCATTCTCTTTTGTCACTTTTTTGCTTTTTTTT